ATGCAATTTTAACATAACCTCACACAAGAAATGTATAAATTCTTCTGCCTTTTTCCAGTGAATTAACTAAGGATGTTGAAAAGTTATGTTAGTCTCTTTTGCCAAAAGCTGTGGGGGAGAACTATGGTACAGCCTTTTAGGTCTGACAACTTTCTACTCTTGTAGAGCTAACCTATCAAGCCAATTTTTCTTTAATAAGAGACAAACTTTGCATAGGGATGTTGATTAATAGGTAGTTATACTAATGTAGTACATGATCACTGTTTGTTGGTTTAGGTTTTTAATGTTAACAGAGATGTAATAATAACCACGTTCAAACACTTTGATATCTTGATGTACTGGGATGGCCAGACACTTCAGCTTTTCTTTTTGTTCTTTCATGACAGAGCCTTTCATGACTTTGGGACAGCTGGTAAACACTTGCTTCATTTCACATAAAGGGCAGAATCAGCTGTGTTTACTGTTGAACAATATAGTGCTGATTTGGGGAAGAAGAGACTAAAAGCGTCAGGGAAATAAAACCCTGAAGCCTGGCTGTGACCATTGGCACCTCATCTAGTATAGGAGGTCTTGTCTCCTTAAAGTCCTTTGTAGTTCAGGACATGCCTGTCTTGGGTTCAACCTGCTTTCCCATGTCTGTAATGTTTGTTATGATCTATTTATGGTTATCCTGGTCTATCCTTTGCTCATCTTGTGTCTTGCCTGGCGGAGTGCGGGCTGCAACCCCTTCCCCACAGCAGCACCACAACCAAAAACCTTTTCTCCCAAAGACCACACATGGTGTTTTATGTGGCTTCTGCTGTAGTTAAACAAATAAGGCTGCCACTCATGTAGGACTCATCAGAGCTGACTTTTTGTTTTGTCTTAGTGGCAGTTTTAATAGTGTGTTAGTACTCTCTGTGACTGTCTAATATTAATGAGAGAAAACCAGGACACAATTTAAAACTTATATTTTATAATGGCTTTAGTGTTGTCTTGAAAGGTGGGAGAGATTCAAATTAATTTCTCTGCAAAGTAATTTATACAGTCAATTATATATATGTTTACATGAAAGTGATTAACTGGAAGTGGTTTCTTAATATCCTTATGCAAATTCAATGGATGGCCAGTTAATTGATAAATTATTGATAAAATGATGAAAAGGTTGCATAGTAGAAATCTGTTAACTAAGTGAAAGAAGATTTGGTTCTGTAGGTATGTCTGTAATCTCCTTAGTCCCTTGGATACTTAAAAGCTCTGAGGCTTCTGAAAGGTTTTATGCTTGATCAACTTGGCACAAAAGTGTCTGGTGTATCAGTTTTACAGTAAGCTTGCTCCTCTAAGAAGGGGAGTGTGATCCCAAGGAGGCCAGAAACCTTCAAGGTGTTGCTAAAAAAATCAGTTATTGCCTTTCTGCGCAAGTACACAATGTACATGGAATGACCAAAGCCCTGCCTCTGCCTTCTACTCTGTTTATGAAGTCTGCTAAGGAAGAGTGGGAATTACCTTTGTCTAGCCAAAGAAGTAGCTTTGCCCATTGTCATACCCCTTTGAAACAAAATGAAGCTAGATGTGGCTCTGATTCAGTGTTGGCTGTGTGCAGTCCCTCCTCGGACTGTGAGCACAATTTTGTAATATTGCCCTGAAATACTGTGGAAATGAATCAAAACCACTGCACAAGTAGATTAAAATATAAGCAGTGAGAGGACTTTTGAGATGTTTATGGTTCGTCCACAACAAAATATTATTCTGAAATAACAAAAGTGATGCCTCTTTGCAAAGGGCTTCAATGAAATTGTTTGAACGCTGAGAAGTTGGCGAAACTTCAACACAAGTCAGCTCTGCTGACAGGAATCTGTCATAAATCAGTGCTGATCAATATTGGTTAACTGCAGTCCTTGTTTGTGGCATGGAAAAAAAAAAAGGGCATTGCTAAAAGAAAGCTTAAGATAGTGCTATAAAAACTGTTAGGCCTCACTGTATGTAGCTGTAGTTTACTATAGTGCTATTGCAGAAGAATAAAGTCCAGACTTCAAAGTGCCACTGGAAATTGTAGGCGATAGTATACTTAGATCAAAATCAAGGTATGTTTTTGTTTTTTTTTTTTTGTTTTTTTTTTTTTGTTTGTTTTGTTTTTTTTAATGTTGTAGTATCAAAATAATATTCTTTGGTCTGGCAAATCTTTTGGTGATGAAAAGAAGTGCTTGTGCTGACAAGAAGTCAGGAGGTTCACTTGATTAATAAGGTTCACAATAGTGGACCATTGCATTTATTCTGGAGAGCCCTTATCGCTCCTTTGGGATGTGAGTGTGGGATAAAGTTCTTTCTGAGCACTGCAGTACTGGTTGCTACAGTGGAAATGCTGCCCATTTTTTGAAGGATCTGTGCTTTCTAGTGATATATATGAAAGAAGACATTTCTTGTTGGGTGGTTAAGATATTAATATATGCCATTCTGGGATTTCATGGCCAAATACATGTACTCGTGGTGTTCTGTGCACTTGCAGTAAGAGTGAAGTTCCCAGGAATTATTACACTGCTGCATTTTGAGCGTTGTGACTGTATCTGTGGTAAGCTTCACTTCCAAAGTGCTGAAGCTACTGTATGTGTGATAGAGCTACACTTGGGTTTCCAGCATCATTGATACATGGCACACAACCAGTAATATTGGATTGTTTCATATATTAATAGGCTTATTGTGTGTTGGGAGATCCCACATTAATGTAAGAATTATTCAAAAGTTCTGTGCACAATGAATTCCTGCTTTATACACGGAGAATTTGGTGCTGTGTGGGTTTTGGATTTTTGTTACAGGGAAAGATGAGTTGGTACTAGAACCTGGCAATTTTTGGTGGTGTCTCTCAGTGAGCTGATGTTTCAGAGACATACTCATGTATGTAAGCAAGGCTTATGTTAACCTGATTAATTTTTTCTTTTTTTTTTTTTTTTTTAATTTAAAGGGATGCAGACAATCTTCTATACTTCCATGTGTTGTTTGTTTTTGTTTTTCCCTGCCGGTAACCTGGCTTTCTGCTGACAGTGTGAGTTTTAATTTTTGATGCTTAAAATACCCATTTGGGCAAATAATTTTTATATAGGATAATATTTCAGGGGATCGGAGGCTGAATGATGAAAAGGCAGATGCTTCTCTTCCCCACAGTGTGCTGACGCCTCATTGATGTGTGAAAACATTGTCCTCCCGACAGATGTGTAGCCCTTGCATTGCCCCTTGTCACCAAACAGGACAGTATGTGCAGAGACTCATTGGGGTATTGGTAAAGAATGAGGCAAATTTGCTTATAACCAGAAGTAGCATCAATTTGCCATCCCTTATTTTTCTTTTTTTTTTTCCTAAACAATAATCTAATTTTTATTTGAGTCTGAGTTGTGATACAATCGTCCCATGTTCAACTTCTTATTCATCAGATCCTCTCTACTCATGTGCTATTTTTTTCTGCATGAATTCATATTATTATTTGCAAGACCATTATTTGCTTATGACTATGTATTTTTGGTACTATTTCTTCATTACAGCACACATCTAAAGACTTGGTTGCTATGCTTTGTGTTTCTAGTATGAAAGCTCTGTGAGTCTGTATAGCGTATTGCTCTGTCTCATATTCATCATTTGAAATAGATTGCCCACTGTAATCTGTATATATTTAATTTGTCTAAAAAAATGTGTTGGCCAAATTTTTGCATCTTAGAGTTATTCAATTTACCCTAATGGTCTTTAACTGAGAGTTATGTTCACACAATGGAGGATAAAATAGACTGAAAAATTTTCTCAGAGCTATTAAATTTTCGAACTACTTGAGTTCTCACATACTCCAGAAAATACAGGTTTCTGAGTGTGTCCCGTATACCTGTCAAATCTGGCAACCAGGAGCAAGATTTGTTGAGGTTACTGGAAGATGAAGGAATAGTATAAAGCAAGAAATGATGAGAGGAATGTGATGATTTCTAATCCAGAGTGATTGCAGGGCTGGATGACCGATCTGTGTCCAAGTGCCATCATGTCAAATGCGTAACTGTGCTTCCCCTGCATCTGCTCGGCAGCAGCACCTTGCTAGATAATACACTGCAGTTCTGTCTGTCTTGGAGCTTGAGGGGAAACCAAAACTTTCAGATGCTGTAGTTTTGTTCTTGGCTCTTTACGTACACCCTTCTCCCCTCCAAAAATCCCAAACCAAAACAACCCCCCAAGGCCTAATGTATTCAAGGACATACTTCATAACTAAACATTACTAAAGCGACTAATGCATACATTCAGTGTGAAGGTGGACCACATAACAGCACTGAGAAACCTGTATGGAAAACCATTTCACTGTCCTAAATATGAAGGAGCAACCTGAGGAAATTGGAGATAGAAAGGCAAGTGAAAGGGAGGAACAGCCCTCTGCTGTTTAAATTTAATTTTGGTAAAACCTAACATAAGCCTTTAGCAACCACAAAGCAGCGACTTGCTTTATTTGACAAAGAACATGCTCAAATATTAATGCAATAAATTGGCCTTAAGCATATGTTCTGTATCTTCCTGGCTAGACACATTTTGCTGAATCAGGGTGTAAGTGACTCACTGGGCTGTGTGAGAACCAGGGACGGAATCCAGCTGGTACTCTAACCAGAAAACCACATCTGTCCAGAAAAGTGTGTTGCTTCCAAATGAGCTACCAGGGGCAATTGCTTCCAAATAGCCCTTAAAATGGGTGTGCTGTGCGGCCACTCTTTATGAGGCATTAAAAAAAGTGTTTTGAGTCTAAGCAATTGCATGGGGGGGCATGTTCTCTTCAGTATTGTTCTCACTGAAAGTTTCTGTACCAGGTTTCTCTTTAATTTCTTAGAGAGCTATGTCAAAGGCTTAGAAACCACTTTTACTCTATGCATTTTAATGAAGAAAGAGCATCTGTGCTGAGGCAAGCCCCAGGTGGCCCATGCTCCAAACCACGGGGTGTTTGGAGAGGTTAAAGGCAAGTGCCGAAGGACAGTGCAACTCATTTCGGTGAAGATTCACAAGCAGCTTAGATGAGAAGCGCTGAGGTTGCTGGCCCTAATGTAGCAAAGCACTTAAGCAGGTGTCAGGTTTTAAACATGTGAGGTTTTTCATTTTGTTTCCTATCAACTTCCTTAAGTACTTTGCTGAATTGGGATCCTGGCAGGACTGAAACCCTGGATATCTCTGCACATTAAGCAGTGTAAGTTAAAACAGGAATTTCTTTGATTTTGCAGCTTTTCCTTAAATTATGTAACATAGGTATGCTGTTTCTCTTTTGGTTGTTCTTGCTTCTTTTTGTGCTTGAAAGAGTTTACTGTGTGTTATAATATTTAAGATGCTGTGTTCTCTTGCGATTAGATATGGAAACATGTTTAAAGAGCTTGAAAAACAAAACAAAAGCCACAGAACTTAAACCAACAGGAAATACTCCACTTCCAGACATTTGAGGCATAGAGAGAATTGCAATTTTTTCAAATAACTTATTGCAGAGAACAATGTATTTATATTCTGTCCTGCAGAAAAGACGTGAGTTTGGCTTCATGCTAAGTGCAAATCTAGCTTTCAAAGATAAAGCACATCTAGCAACAGCTGAGCTTATGCTTTTCCTTTGAAACAAAATGTGCTCAGGTAAGAACTCACAGCTAACAACAAACCATCATAAATGATGTATTAGTTAGACTAGAAAATGAGGGCTGTTGAGCTTGATTCTCCTAGTGTTTCATGATTGCATTACACATACCTCTGTGCCTCTTTGGTGATGATACCTTTTTCTTTTGTAAAGTTTCTTCGTACTGTTTTTATATATAATTGAAGAAGGAATTGGGAAGCTGGATGGCAAATACTGTGTGCAATGAATCTTTCAGAAGGTGTTAGTTGTTAGCATAAAATAGTTGAATTAAATGCTAATAACCATCAAATGACTTTTCAGCATAGAACAACATATGTTCCTTCTGGCCGATGAGAAGAAAGCTGAACCAAGGCTGGGAGAGTTGTCGCAGTTCAGGCAGCAGAGCTGGACTGTAATTGCTTGGTTTGTGCTGTTGTAGCTTGCAGGTTTCCTGTTGTTCTGAAACAGACTTCTACACATTAATTGAGGGTCTCCTTTGGCCCGAAGGGAGGGAGAACACTGCGTCAGTGCAGAGCAAAACTGTTCACGCAGAGGGGTCTTGTTCCAGCTTTAGGTACTCTGTCTTTCCAACTAATGAGTCTGTCCAAGACTGATGGACTTCAGCAGTATTCAGTACTGAAAACTGGGCCAAGGAAGAAACCAGAGAGTATATAATTTCAGAAATAATTTTACTTAATTAAAAAAAAATATATATTTTTTTAACAATTAAATGCTGATCTTTTGGAAATGAGCACCGTTACTGCTGTTCATCCAGCCAGATGGATGTAAACTTGTAATTCCAAAAGCATACCCAATAACTTGGCCCCCAAAATATGATACTAGTTGTCTTATTCACATCAGACCTGACTGTTATTTTGAGGTTGTGTAGATTTTTCAAAAGGGCTGAATTGGCCCCTTCATTTTTCTTCTAAAAATTCCATTTCAGTAACCAAACACGATCTCAGCTTTCATTCCTTGTTCCAGTAGAAGTAAAAGGAATTGAGTCTACTTTCAGCATTATGTCAACTGCTGGCCAAGGATTCTGCTTAATAATACCTGATATTCCAGTCGTATCAAACTGGTAGGTAGGCTAGTGTTCACAAGAACTGTAAAATAAAGAGCCATGCACCATTCATCCCCTTCCTGGTAAGCTTATTTAAATTATGGTAAGTGTCTCCTGGAGCAATTCTTTGACCTTAGCTCTGCTAGTTCATCTTTGTTCAGGTTACTGAAGAAGGAGCATGTGGAAGATGTAGCAATCTCTTGGGAGATATGTAGGTTTTTGGTTTTTCTTTTAGGAGGGGTGTGTCTGTGCTCGATGCAGTGTGCCCATGCAGGAGTAGGGCATTGACCACTCTCCTGCTCTCCCCTCTGCAAGCCTGCAGTGAGCAGAAATGCGCTCAACAGTCCTATAGATAGCTTGAAAAAGTGGCTTGTAGGATAAATGTCTGTTTGTTTATTAGGAAGGATTAAAAGACAGAAAAGTAAATGCCATGTCTAAGTATTAAGCTGTGAAAAACGAATTGAACTTTACATCTATATTGCACTAGTATGCTGGCTTCTTTGTTGTTCTTGATTTATAATTTTGAAAACTACTTTTAAGCCTCAGTGTGAGCATTTTTGTGTCACGTAATCTGAAGGAACAATTTATGCTTCTGGATTTATTTTTATTCACTTCTTTAGGTCATCTGACTACTTTTAAATTTCATGGACTTAAACGTGCCTGTAATTGTTACAAGATGAGGTGACACCAGAAACAAAATCTCCGTCTTCAACTGGTAATGAATGTTGCCTTTGTTCATAGTGATAAGGATATGTGGTTTTTTTTTTCTTTAAGTCAGACTATTTTAATTATGGTAGTAATTAATATGGTGTTTTACTAATCATGAATTGTCAGTTGATTTTTCAGTTAGGGGTTTTGTGTGATCAAAGTTCTTTGTAACACACAGCTCATAGTAAATAGTTCCTAAAAATGGTGGATAAAGCTTCAAAAATTTTGGAAGAGCAGGTAAATATTTTTCTGCTTTGTGACATCTCTTCAAATTATTCTGATTTTAAAATTATTCCACATATTACCCTAGTTAATAGTGACAACACAAATGCTGTTAGTTTTGGTTTGGTTTTGTTGTTTTTTGTTTGTTTGTTTGTTTTGTTTTGTTTTTAACTAGCTCAGTGCTGATAAATACTTAATAGCTACAAAACTTAAATCACATATCCTGAAAAGGACTTTCTGAATCATACAGTTTCAGCCTGTTCTCTGATACTACTGAAAAGCAGGTTTTAATTTCCACTTACTGGCCCTGTGCTGCAGGATAAAACCACTGTACAGGGGAAAGAAAGCTTAGCATTTGTAGCTGAGTTTTCTGTATAGGGAAGTGGTACCAGGAGATGCTGAGTTTCCCCAGGGATGGCTTGTTGCATTGCATATCCTGAATTTTACTTCATTGCCTATTTCAGGACGGAGTGTAAAAATTTCAGAGAAAGTACAATAGCTAGAAATGGACATTAATAAACCTGGGCCATAGCATAGTACTGTCAGATTCTAGCTCTCTATGGCAAGGGGAGTGAGCCATATTTTCAGCTGGTGTAACCTGGCACTGCTCCGCGATTGCCATCTGTTGTTGACATCCATGCTGTCCTCCAGTAAAACAGAAACTGTTAATTCACTGTAGTTTGTGTTCCTGGTGAATCGATATTACACCATTATATTTTGCCTCAGAAAAGTAATTTTCCAATTCATGTTAGATGTGTGCTTTGTGTTATCCTGGAGTCTGTATATTTGACCTAGAAAATTGAATGTTCATAAATTTTTTAAAATTTCTGATTTTTTTTTTTTTATTTTGTATCTTTACTTGAAAATCTGATCCCTGAATCTGATTTGATTCCTTGATAGTTTTTATTCTTCAAGATCTGCTTCATGAGATCTATTTTCATTTGGAGAAAAAAAATATTTGAAAACTTGTTCACTGGAGTTGCATGGCCTGTTGGTCGTCAACTGTCTTCAGAAGACATCTGGAGTACTGCCGACAGAATAAAGAGGTACAAAATGTATATGCAAGAACTTTGCTGTTATTGGAAAGAAGCTGTTAGAAAATATTGTAGGGAGCAATCTTTAAGGGCTGGCTGGGTTCTATACTTTCCCAAGCTTTGCAGCTGGGAAAGCAAACCTGTTCAGAGAGTCAAGCACAGGAAGAATTAAAACTAGGTCAACTTGTTCTCAAAGATCAGGATCTGAGTAATTTGCAAATGTCAACTTTCTTCATATAAAGGAACTATACTGTCAAGCATACACTGCATATAGGATTTAATCATGTCTTTTCAGCCCAAATGCAAGGGAATTTGAAGTCATTGATTGTACCAATAGTGGACTGACCTTTTGGTATTTCATTTTTTCTGACCCTTGTTTGTTACAGCCCAGGTGAGATGTTTCAGGATGGGTGGCTGGTTGTTTTTTGAAGGCAGTATTTATTATGTGTCAAAAAAAATCATTCTGGTATGGTGTGATGCAGCAAATAGCTGCAATGGTTGACGTCAATCCCTGCCATAGCAGTGGCAGACTGAAACGTGTGCTCTTGAGTTTCTTGGACTTGTGTCTTTATCAGTATCAGCTGAACGCACTCACCTGTTAACTGAGGGTAGGCAAAGGATTGCTCCTGGGAGACTGTAGCTACTAATTACCAGGGCAAGCTGGGGTCTGGGGTTATATTTTCTTTAAAAGCCATTGTATTTTTGCTTCGAGCCTGAAGAATTCACATATATTGGATTCTGGAACTGCTGTTTCAAAGCTTAGTATTGAAATGACAAATTTACTCCTTGCCTGTTGGAACAGGCTTTAGTTTTGGTTTGTTTCTAAGCTGTTCAGAACAGAAAGAAAAAGAGGATAGCAGAATACCCGACCTGTGCTGGAGACTTTGATTTCCTTTGCTGCTTCTGTTAGCTAGCGGCCATGATGTACTACATCAAAGTGTAGATGTGCTAGAGGTTGCACTTACATAAGTTCTTGGAGTTTTCTGCTGACGCCGTGATGGTTGTGTCATATCCCAGACAGTGCAGGTGAGCAAAGTCACGGTTACTTCCAGGGCACTGTGCTCCCTGGGAAGGCAGAGCTGGATGCGCGGAGGCAAACAGCAGTGGTGAAGATGGTGATCTGGCTGCTCTAGTCCCTCTACATGCAAGACTTACACATTTACATGAAATCCTGACAGAAAAGATCTGAACAGTTGTGATAGCTGTACTGATAAAAAGGAAGTCAGAAAGTGAGCTCGGATCATTATTTCATAATGATTTTTGCATATTTGATCTATTGTGTCCTAAGAAACACACCTTCAACTTTTCTAGGTCTGATTTCTATCCCCTGTGGTCTCTCCTTCCCCCTCTCCCACACTGTTCAAGTATTCTGCCAAATCCAGAATAACATGAAAATAAGAAAATATACTAACTGTGTCTATGCTGAGGAAGCGGTTTCCTTAGAAATGGTAACCATATGAAAACTATAAATGCTGATACTGAAACTATAGTTGAATATACGGATGTGGGCCCTGGAAAAAAGGGAAAGAGGATCTGTTTGCTAACTAAAGGGAAAAAATCTTGATGCTGCCTAGGCTTTTTGCCAAAGCATAGCTGAAATAAGATTACTTTAGGTGTGTGTTGTGTGGCAGCTTTTCCTCTCTTGCTTTTTATATAAGGTGCCCGTAGAAACATGGCTATGAGCAAGAGAAAATCTGGTTTGATTTCATATTTTCATGGACTCATAACTGAAAAGGTGAATGTGTGCTTTGACAGCTGTGAGTGGGACAGGGCTCCCAGTGCTGCCTTCAGCTCTGACCTGGCACTGCTCGGCTCCAGCACAGCTGCTGTGGTGTCTGGGCAGACACGGGCTGGACGGGGCTCTCGCTGGTCCCAGTGCTGCGCTGGTGAGGGGGGTTTGACAACTGGAAGAGGTCAGAGGAGCGAATGCTGGCAGCAGATTGGGAGACAAAAATCATGAGACTGGAGAGTGTTGTTACACAGCGAGGTCCATCCTCTGTACTTTTTCAGTGTCCATGCCAGCCATCAGAGAGAGCTTCTTGCGAGACCCAAGTTACAGTGGCAATTTGATTTATACATGATATTGTTTCTCATCCTGAGGAAAATGTAGATCATCCATGAAGATGAGGTAGATAAAAAGTTGGAGCTGGATTTCTCTAAGAATATAGCTATACTGTGCAGCACTGTTAAACACCAGTGACTAGTCAGTGAGGTGCAGAGCTTTACACTTGTCTCTCAAGTAGAAAGAGATTTGCCATCAAAATTCTGTTATTCTTCTCTCTTATAAGGTATAAACTTTGGTACTTTTATATCTACTTTATTTTTTTTTCTCCTGGGGCCTGTACATTGATGTGAGTTACAAAATCAATCAATAGATTTCCTTTAAAGGAGAAAGCAGGATTTAGTATTCAGCAGTCAGAAAAATGCTCTGGAGATTGCCGTCTAATAGGAATGAAATAAAAAGCAGAAGCTGATTAGAATTCCAGAAAATGGGATATTCATCTATTTATAGGAATCTAAGTCTTCATATGCCAGATTTTGTAATTTAGTTTTCGACATGTCCTCAATTTTAAGCACTTCTGGAGAAATCATTAAATGAAGAAAAGGTAAGAGGAATTTAAGAAGAGACAAATTTATGTTGATTTACAAAAGAAAAATGTAGCCAACATAGATTGTCTGGCTGAAGGATGCATGAGTAAAATATAACACAGTACTGTGCCTGGAATGTGCTCTGAAAGCATTGCCCCATGCCAGGGACTTGCTGTCTCCAACACAGACTGATGTGCTAAGATAGAAGCATAGAATACAATGAGACATTTTCATGGCGCATCTTCTTTGCATATTTTTCAGACCAGGTCATAATCCTTTTCAATGCAAGTGTCTCCCTAGAATGGATTTTTCTTTTGCATCTATTTTCTTACATCTTTTGTGTGTTTGAGTGATCTTGCTTCTTTCTTATTTCTAGTTCCTAAGTATACAACTCAGGAGAGTGTTGATAGGACTTGTGAGAAAGAAGGTCAACTCTGGCTGCTGAGAAAGAAAATGTTAAAAAAAAAAAAAAAAAAAAAAAATGGACTTCTACAGAGATTTATTAAACAGATGCTGACATTGTGGGAGACCTGGAAAGCCTCAGGGAATCATTCTACCTTGTGCTCAGTTCTCTTAAAAATACTCTGTGTATGCTTTTTAAAATCTAAACATGTGTGAATTATGAAATTGTGGAGAGGGACCATTATAGGGTGGCGTTCTCAATATCTCATGTGGAAATGTTGCCTGTTCTTCTGTGTATCTGAGTATTACCATAGCTAGAAAACAGTGTCAGGGGTTTTGAGGGGAGAAAAAAAAAAGCCTCAAAACTAAGCAAAGCTTGATGTTATGTGAGCAGGGTTAGGCTAACTAATCATTGTGCCATTTTCAGGCTGATGTGTGTGCCTGACCCATAATGTCTGTTAATTGTAACAGGAATGAAAATGCAGTGCACCTGCATAAGGTGGAGGGAAATTGTACTGTATTTTGGTATAACTTCATTGTGGTCTGCCTCTTGGCAAGGGACGTTTGGGTGCTTTGTAAATAATATTTGTAAATCAAGTCCATTTGGAGCAGTTAATGTCCTTGTTTTGGAAAAACTTGTGTACAAAGGGTTCTTGTTTGGGACAGCAGGGATTGGCAGTAAATGGGGACAAGGACATGGGAGCGGTGAGTCTCTGGGCCTCAACATTCCTGTCTGCACCACCTGAAAGGGGATGATGTTAAGCGATGCATCCTAGGCTAAGTCATTCCTTCCAATAGTTGCTCTTCTATTTTCTTGGCAACAGTATTAGCCACGTTATCGTGCCTACTTGGCCATGCTGTGACGGCTGGCGCGAGCGTCCCGCTGAGCTGTGCTCCCACCGGCTGCGCGGGCAGCTACCGCACCGCAGCCTGGCCCTGGGGGGGAAGGACCCCACTGTGGGGAGAAAGGGGAAAACTGATGTGCAACATCGGTGACTCCTCCTGCCTCCACTTCAGGGTCTTCTAACTTCTGCTGCTTCAAGCAGCATATTCTGAACAACTGTTCAGAAATATGTGTACTATTTGGTACACTCAATATTTCACTTTCAGTACTGCTTGGTGTAGCTATGATGTGTATCAGCTTTACTGGCAATGTACCTTGAATGTCTCAGTTGCTCTGAGCTTTCCTGCTTGACTGTCTGGAGGATTTTGGAATAAGAAAAATATAAATGTTAACTATTTGGTGTAGAGAAGTCTATTTTAGTAACTTAAAATATTAAAAATCTGGATCCAAATTCACATTACCCCCATGTTGTTTGTTGTTGTGGGTTTTTTTTGGGGTGTTTTCTTTGTTGTTGTTGTTTGTTTGTTTGCTTTTTGTTTTTGTTGGTGTTTTGGTTTGTTTTTTTGTTTTTTTTTTTTTTTTAAATCTCTGGTGGTTGGGGGGGGGTGGTGGTGGTGGTGATAGTTTTGGGCTTCCTGGGTGATTTCATGGGCCATGCTAAGTGTTTTCACTATTCTTATCTTCTTACTAGATGAAGGATTGGCTTGCAATCTGGTTTGACCCAGTGCCTTCCAGGCAGGTAATTTTTCAGTGGAAATTAACTGTGGAACACTTCAGAGGATCATCACATGTTTAAAGAATATAAGTCCAAGATGCTTCCTTGTGCACCAGAGGGAATGCCAGGAGATAAAAGTATGTTTAGTCTGAGAGCAGGAAGGTGGACAAGGAAGACATTGTATGAAGAGGTATAGGTCAAGCAGAGATAGCCACTAGAGACTGGAAGATCAGAGTATTGCTTGCTAAGGTTTAGAATTGTTATTACTATTACTTGTATTACTGTAGCCTCTAAAAGACATTTCAAAGGGAGGGGATTTTTGAGTTTCTGCAAATGATAATGGAGCAATATTTGCCTAGTAAAAATGAGCATAGCATCCACAGCTTAGAGCCACTGAGAATATGGATTGAAATTTGCTTAGTATATTTGGTTCTGGTAGAACTAGAAATTAAAATAAGAGAA